ACAGACACAAATACAGAAAGACATACAGACACAAATACAGAAAGACATACAGACACAAATACAGAAAGACATACAGACACAAATACAGAAAGACATACAGACACAAATACAGAAAGACATACAGACATAAATACAGAAAGACATACAGACACAAATGCAGAAAGACATACAGACACAAATACAGAAAGACATACAGAAAGACATACAGAAACAAATACAGAAAGACATACAGAAAGACATACAGACACAAATACAGAAAGACATACAGAAAGACATACAGAAACAAATACAGAAACAAATACAGAAAGACATACAGACACAAATACAGAAAGCCAGACACCCACCCACATAGAGACACGAATACAGAAAGCCAGACACAGACAGACAGTAGCGCAAATGAAAACCTTTCAACATGCACTGGCCTCGGCTTTTTTCGAGGTAAGCATCGACACGCGTCCTCGTGCTTGAAGTGTGGAGCAGTTGCAAGACGAAAGGGTCAGAAGGCTTCCGTGTAGGGTGCGACATACATCCTCCTTTCCTGCCAGGATTGATTCTTGCTGCAGTATGCGGTCTTTGCGGCCGCTTTCTGTCCACTGTTGCAAGTCTTGGATCTGGAGAGGGAGCCGCACGGTGCAGTCTTACGTGCAGAGTAGCAACCCGGAAAAAGACTTACGCCCCCGTTGACGCAGTACAGCATTTCAGCAAAGAAAGAGTGTGGAAACTGCTGCCGACAGCCTCATGGCGAGGCATCTTCGAGGGGCCTTATGCCGCTTTGCAGGCAGTCACGACGACAATCGCCTTTTGAGACAGCCTTTTTCTGCAGGGGCGTGGGGGAGAAGAAGGGGCGGCAGCGGCGCATGCAGTTGTTACCTGCGTTTGGAGTCGCTCGTTCTCTGCCAAAAGAATCAGCTGCTCCTGCCGCAGCAGCCTTAAGTGGCTGTCCGTGTAGGACTGCACGCCGCATGCGAATCCGTGAGCCGCACGAAAGGCAGCGTGATTTTCGCCAAAGGCATTCTCCAGCAGCTTGTGCAGCGCTGCAGCCACACAGCAGCCTAACGCTTCCCCCGCCTCGTTTGCCGCTCTCTCTTCGTGAGGTTGAAGGCGAGCGGAGACACTGCAGGCATGTGAAGGTCCCCCTTGTGCACCCTTGCAAGATGCGCGCATGCACTTGTATTTTCCGACGCGCGCATGCTCAGCAGCGCCTCCACTGCCCCCTACCTTCACGCTTCACTGCCATCAGAACCGTGTTGTTGGTGTACAGCTGCGCCATGTACTGCAACGCCCTGCCCTTGCGGAGAGCCTTGAAAGTCAGCTTCCTCGCCTCCACGAGCGGCAGCGAAGTTTCTTGCAGGATGCGAAGCTCTGCCTCTGTTTCCTGCACACCCCGACAACGCTGCCAGAAGCCCCATGCACAGACATGCATGATGGTGCGCGAGGCAACGTAGAAGCCGCAAAGCGCACATCCAAAGATGAACGGGATAGGCATGACAGCGTACAGCGCAGCAGACCTAAGGCGACTCCTTCTTCCCCCCTTCTTCCCCTCCCCCCTAGCAGCCAGGGTTTTTTGCTCTTGAGCAGCGGTGCTCCTTGAGAAGCGCACACGTTGTGCAGAAGGAAGCTAAAAAGAGGCTTTCCCCCGACTACTGATACCTCTAACTGCGTGTTGAGTCGCTTGTTTTCAGCCTCGTAGGTGCTCGACAGCCTGGCCGTGTCATCCTTGCGAGTCCTTTCGCTGACCAAGAGCTCTTGCTTCAAAGTGACAATCTGCTGCGAACGCTGCTGCACTTCTTCCTCGCTCTGCCGCACTTGCGCAGCTAACTGCCGTTCCAACCGTCGCAGCCTCTTGATTTCTTCGGCAGCCTCAGTCAGCGTAAAACGCACAACATGCTTCTTTGCTGCAGCGAGAGCACACAGCAGCCCCCCGTCCATACACACACAGACACATACATAACTATATATATATACATACCAATATACATGTATATATACACATATATATGTGTACATATATATACACACATATATATATATATACATACATACACACATACACACATACATACACATATACACATACATACATGCACAGCTATATATACACAGGCCAGTGAAGGCGAAGCCAGTAGCGCCGTCTTCTTGCGGGAGCCCCCTGTAGCAGTGTGTAGCTGCTTTTTATGGCGTGGTTTTAGGAAAGCGCGAAAAAAAGGGTCGCATATACATAAATATATACTTACATATACACATAGATATACATATATGCATATATATATACATACAGATATATATATATGTATATCTCCAGGTGCCACCCATCACCCGACACCCTGTGTAGCTCACGTTCGGCAGTGTTACCGTCCGGCGATGAAGAAACTGCATCAGTGACACACAACATGAGATGGGTAGAAGCCCTCTATATATATGTGTATACATGCGCTTGCTGCTGCTTGCAGCCGCTGAGCTGCGCGTTCTGCGGCTGGTTCCGAGGTCTGCGTGTCGGAGGAACGGAAGGCAGAGAGACTCGAGAAACTGGAGAGACTCGAGAGACTGGTGAAACTGGAGAGACTCGAGAAACTGGAGAGACTCGAGAGACTGGTGAAACTGGAGAGACTCGAGAAACCGGAGAGACTCGAGAGACTGGAGAGACTCGAAAAACTGGAGAGACTCGAGAAACTGGAGAGACTTGAGAAACTGGAGAGACTGGTGAAACTGGAGAGACTGGTGAAACTGGAGAGACTGGTGAAACTGGAGAGACTCGAGAAACTGGAGAGACTCGAGAAACTGGAGAGACTCGAGAAACTGGAAAGACTCGAGAAACTGGGAAGACTGGCGAAACTGGAGAGACTGGCGAAACTGGAGAGACTGGTGAAACTGGAGAGACTCGAGAAACTGGAGAGACTGGTGAAACTGGAGAGACTCGAGAAACTGGAAAGACTCGAGAAACTGGAAAGACTTGAGAAACTGGAGAGACTTGAGAAACTGGAGAGACTCGAGAAACTGGAGAGACTCGAGAAGCTGGAGAGACTTGAGAAACTGGAGAGACTTGAGAAACTGGAGAGACTGGTGAAACTGGAGAGACTGGTGAAACTGGGAAGACTGGTGAAACTGGAGAGACTGATGAAACTGGAGAGACTGATGAAACTGGAGAGACTGGTGAAACTGGAGAGACTCGAGAGACTGGAGAGACTGATGAAACTGGAGAGACTGATGAAACTGGAGAGACTGGTGAGACTGGAGAGACTCGAAAAACTGGAGAGACTCGAGAAACTGGAAAGACTCGAGAAACTGGGAAGACTGATGAAACTGGAGAGACTGGTGAAACTGGAGAGACTGGTGAAACTGGAGAGACTGGTGAAACTGGAGAGACTGGCGAAACTGGAAAGACTCGAGAAACTGGAAAGACTCGAGAAACTGAAGAGACTGGTGAAACTGGAGAGACTCGAGAAGCTGGAGAGACTTGAGAAGCTGGAGAGACTTGAGAAACTGGAGAGACTTGAGAAACTGGAGAGACTGGTGAAACTGGAGAGACTGGCGAAACTGGAGAGACTCGAGAAACTGGAGAGACTGGTGAAACTGGAGAGACTGATGAAACTGGAGAGACTGATGAAACTGGAGAGACTCGAGAAACTGGAGAGACTCGAGAGACTGGAGAGACTCGAGAAACTGGAGAGACTGGTGAAACTGGAGAGACTGGCGAAACTGGAGAGACTCGAGAAACTGGAGAGACTCGAGAAACTGGAGAGACTGGAGAGACTGATGAAACTGGAGAGACTCGAGAAACTGGAGAGACTCGAGAAACTGGAGAGACTGGTGGAACTGGAGAGACTGATGAAACTGGAGAGACTGGTGAAACTGGAGAGACTGGCGAAACTGGAGAGACTGGCGAAACTGGAGAGACTCGAGAAACTGGCGAAACTGGAGAGACTGGCGAAACTGGAGAGACTCGAGAAACTGGAGAGACTGATGAAACTGGAGAGACTCGAGAAACTGGAGAGACTCGAGAAACTGGAGAGACTCGAGAAACTGGAGAGACTCGAGAAACTGGAGAGACTCGAGAGACTCTCGGCTTATGACTGCAAAAGGGGTGGTGCCGCGCGCGGGATATTACTGGCAAGCCTTACAAGGAGCGTTTGCGGCAGCAGGTTCTTCGTCGTTGGCAGATGTCGACCTTGCAATGCCTTTGCCTGCATGCTCGCAGCAAGCAGCACGCATCAGTGGCGGAAAGAAATTAATTCCTGTCACTTAAAGGCCAAAGCAGAGATCGCAAAGACGCGCAGACTGTCTCGTCGAAGGAAGGGGTGCCCCTTGCGAAGCAGCTGCGGATACAGCCGGAATACGAACTCCCAGTGAGCGGTGAAGGTCAGTGCAGCACGGCGAAAACATGGCTTTAATCGGCAATAAGCCCTTTAAAAAGTCGTGTATTAAAGGCAGGGACTAACTACTTGACAGACAGACTGACTGATTGACAGACTGCCTGCCCTCTCTCCCTCCCTCCAGCCTGCCCTTTCTCCCTCCCTCCAGCCTGCCCTTTCTCCCTCCCTCCAGCCTGCAATTTCTCCCTCCCTCCAGCCTGCCGTTTCTCCCTCCCTCCAGCCTGCCCTCTCTCCCTCCCTCCAGCCTGCCCTCTCTCCCTCCCTCCAGCCTGCCGTTTCTCCCTCCCTCCAGCCTGCCCTTTCTCCCTCCCTCCAGCCTGCCCTTTCTCCCTCCCTCCAGCCTGCCCTTTCTCCCTCCCTCCAGCCTGCCCTTTCTCCCTCCCTCCAGCCTGCCCTTTCTCCCTCCCTCCAGCCTGCCGTTTCTCCCTCCCTCCAGCAAAGGGAAGGAGGGAGGGGGGGAAGAACGCACATATAGTCCTTGCGGGGGGGGAAGGGGGCAACTTTGAGGGGAGAAGGAAGAGGGGTTCTTACTTGGGAGTCTAGCCTCCTTGCGTAGCCGAGGCGCTTCTGCCTCGTTGCCAGAATTGCCTCCTGATGCTTTCATAGCATCCCCAGCTGCCGAGTTCAGCCGTTGAGTGGCATTCGCTTCGCCTCCCCGCGATTTAGGGGGCTGCGCTCGCTTTAGGGGAGCGTGAGCCTTTTGCGATCCTGCCTTTGGAGGCGACTTTTTCGGAGAGGAGGCGTCTGGCATTCTTTTTGACAAAAGTCACGCCGCGCCAGGAAGCCTCGCTTCCGGAGACTCTACGCGATGCCTGTGCAGAAAAAGCAGCGCCCGTTGTTCAAGCGCAACGGCAGCCGAGGCGCACAAGACGCGTGAAGAGGGGCTGCTCCCCCTCCCACGGCTCGATCCCCTTCTTCTTCTTCTCCAGCCTTTCGGAAGTGGCGCGATGCCCTTCTTCTTCTTCTCCAGCCTTTCGGAAGTGGCGCGATCCTCCGCTCACGCGCTGCTGCTGCGGCTGCTGCTGCTGCAGCTGCTGCTGCTGCGCCTTCCCCGCAGTGTCTGCAGCGCTGCCTTGACGCGCGTCCACGGGCAGCCGAGAGGCTCAGACGAGGAGGTCGTGCCAAGTCTACGGCTGCCGTTCGAGCAGAAACAGGCATGTGCTGGGCAGTGCGAGCTAGCGACATGCACGGAGAGCCTCGCAGGAAGAAGGCGGGAAAATCCCATAGAAGCGTACCGTAGCTTCTCCCGGCGAGTGCGAGAGGAGGGAGGCGTAGAAAGCTCGAGCAGAAGGAGGGAAGAGGGAGCGAAGCAGAGAGGAGCGAAGGAGGGAGGAAACCCTGGATAGCTCGAGAAGGCGCTTCACAACCAGCTGTCGGGAGTCGTCAGGCAGAGAGTGTGTCAGCGCGTCGTGGGCACCCACTGTGAAGCCGAAAAACGCAGAGCAGACATCGAGAGAGAGAGAGAGCGTCCTCTCGTGAGCTCCTAAGGCGAGGGGTGTGCCGTCAGCCTGCTTCTTCCGCCGAGGCGACCCCCCACGCGCCGCGCTCTACGGGGAGAAGGGAGGGGGAAAGGAGAGAGGAGGGAGGGAGAGAGGAGGGAAGAAGAGAGGATGGTGTCAAAGGCAGCGTCTGCCGCAAGAGGAGCGCAGCGTGCAGAGCGCAGACCCAGTCCTTGCTGCTCAGACACGGGAGGAAACCAGCCCCCAGTGTTTGAGGCGGTGCGGTTCGAGAGAGCCTGGAGGCTTCTTGTCAAAGTCGCGCAGCTAAATGCCATGAGATAAAATTCAAAGCGTTTTTGGGGAGAAAAAGGAGGAGAACAGACCCCTGCAGCCAACAAGTCTCCCGTTCGACGGGCGGCTGCTGCCCGTGTGTTGTCGGCGCTGCTGCAATGCGTCGTCGTGTGCCAATGGACAGCAACCCCTGGGGTTTAGGGGCCCCCTCTGCGTGCGCTCAAAGAGGCTCTGTCTGCCTTCAAAGGCCCCTCGAAAGGCTCGAATGAAGACGTTTGCCAAGAAGAAAGACTCACGAGAAGCGCGACTCCAAAAAATCACGCGGCAGCACACAGTTCCTCCCAGCACCCCGGGGGGACTGCCGTCAGCGGATGCCCGAGGGAGGCTTCCTGAAACGAAACGTGCAGGAGGGGCTGTGTTTTCGAGCTTTTCTCGTTTCGAATCCCTTGTAATTCCACGCTTCGACTAAAAGGACTGCCAGACAGACACACGCAAAGCGCTGTGCAGAGAGTGAGACTCCTCCTGCCTGGCCAGGGGGCAGTCGCCGCGAGTGCTCCCTGTGCAGGCAGGGGCGTGCCACAAAGCCTTTGAAGCAGAAGCTCCCCATTGTTGTCAGGAGAAAGCGGATGTCTCTTGTCTGCTGAGGCTTGTAGGCCCCTGCTGGGTGCTCGCCCCTTCTTCTCCTGCCTGCCTCACAGCAGCAGCCTGCAGTACTCCTGCTTGCCTACTACGCTACCCCCCCTCTTGGCCTTCCAGCAGAATTCGAACCTGCTGCCTCCTGCTCTTCTTCTCCCTCCTGCTCTTCTTCTCCCTCCTGCTCTCGCGTTGCGCAGTTGTCATCGTACGCAACCCACCGGCAGCCAGCAGGGAGGGAATGCCAACAGCAGCTGCGGCAGCCATCTGCCCTCCTGCAGCGAAAGATGCTGCTCTCCAGACGGCCTCAAACAAGGGGAGACTCTTCCGAAGCCTTAGCTTAGCCTTCTTGGGGTTTTCTGCCGACAGTCTGAATGAAGCGGAAGCACATGCGGGTGTTCTCGCCGGAGGCACCTCTGGCGCCTCCGCTGTACAGACAGGAGGGTTATCTGGAATGGACGCTGAAGCCAAAGAGGCGCAAGCTCTACTGCACGTAATGCAGCGGGAAGCCGCAGCAGTGAGTTTATAATAATGCGGCCCCGCAGTCCTCCTTCGTGTGTCTGTATGTGTGTCGGTATGTGTGTTTGTCTGTCTGTGTGTTTGTCTGTCTGTCTGTGTGTCTGTCTGTGTGTCTGTCTGTCTGTGTGTCTGTCTGTCTGTGTGTTTGTCTGTCTGTGTGTTTGTCTGTGTGTCTGTCTGTGTGTCTGTCTGTGTGTGAGTCTGTCTGTGTGTTTGTCTGTCTGTGTGCCTGTATGTGTGTCTGTATGTGTGTCTGTCTGTCTGTGTGTTTGTCTGTCTGTGTGTTTGTCTGTCTGTGTGTGAGTCTGTCTGTCTGTCTGTGTGTCTCTGTCTGTCTGTGTGTTTGTCTGTCTGTGTGTTTGTCTGTCTGTGTGTGAGTCTGTCTGTGTGTTTGTCTGTCTGTCTGTCTGTGTGTGAGTCTGTCTGTGTGTCTGTCTGTCTGTGTGTTTGTCTGTCTGTGAGTCTGTCTGTGTGTCTCTCTGTCTGTCTGTCTGTCTGTTTGTCTGTCTGTGTGTTTGTCTGTCTGTGTGCCTGTATGTGTGTCTCTATATCTGTCTCTCTATCTGTGTGTCTCTGTCTGTCTGTCTCTCTATCTGTCTGTCTGTCTGATCTGTCTGTCTGTGTGTCTCTCTATCTGTCTGATCTGTCTGTATGTGTGTGTGTCTCTCTCTCTGTGTCTATATCTGTATGTCTGTGTATCTCTCTCTGTATGTCTGTGTGTCTGTATCCAGTGGAGCGCCTGCAAAGGGCCTTCTTTGTGCATGCGAAATTGCGCTTTGCAGGAAGATGCATGCGTTGTTGTTGTGGCTTCTAGAGAAGACGTTGCGCGAGCAAGTTTTTTTGTATGCAACTTAGGGCCTGCTGCCTTGACTCACCTCCGTCTTCTAGCAGAGCCGCATCTGGCATGGGCTGCTGACGGAAGTTCACTTGCTGCCTCGCTTGGAGTCGATCCTCTTAGGTTGGTGACTCCTTGGTGGTTGTTTGCGTGTCTTCGCGACAGGCGTGTGTATGCTCCAGATGCGCATCCGCTTTTTCGCGTGTCTGCTGCTGCTGCTGCGGCTAGCAGTTTCCGCCAGTTTCTTCTCCCGATGCAGCCTCCGCGTGCAGCCCAGCAGCAGCAGCAGCAGCAGCAGCTTGCATGCAAGCGCCTCCGCGTGCTGCTGCTGGGCTGTACGCGGAGGTTGCATCGGGTGCGCAGCGCTAGCAGCAGCCGCTATGGCTGCAGCGTGTTTGCTGAAGATTCGGAGGAAGGTGAAGCGACGGGCAGTCCTCTGCAGGCGACTGCTGCTGGGCAGAGTGGAGGTGCTCTTGCACTGCACGACTTAGAGATCGCTCGTGCATGCGTGGAATGTCTGGGGGGCTGCTGCGTGGATGCGGCTGCAGTGGCTGCTGAGATCGCCGCGGCAGCAACAACTGCAGCAGCAACTGCAGAGATCGAGCCTTCCCGAGACTTAGGTGTCGACGTAGTTGTTGTAGGACGTCTTCCCAGAAGGAGGGAGGCGCAAGCATTCGAAGACGGGGGTATTTCCGCGACAGAACGTCAGCAGCTTTCCAAATCGAGGCGCACAAGAAGGAGAACAGCTGCCCTGGCTGCTGGGGAATGCGCAACACTTCTGCATGCGTTGCAGCAGCGTGGCGTTGCATGCGTCCACCTCCAGTGGCTGCTCGATGCCTATTCCTTTGTAAGGAGAAAAAGCTCTCGCCCGCCCACGCCGTGTATGTGTGTCTTACTGGCTTCGTGCATTCGGGCACTCTGCTTTTCTGCGGATAACAATACAAAAAACTCCCGCAGACGCTTCGCGTCGTAGAAAACTTTTTCAGTAGGACCCCTAGCGTTGGCGCGCGCCTTTCTGCGCGCCGTGTGTATGTGTGTGTGTACATATGTATGCATGTGTGTGTATATATACATGTATATGTATTGTGTAGGTGTATGTGTATGTATTGTGTAGGTGTATGTGTATGTGTTATGTAGGTGTATATTATGTGTATGTATGTACTATGTGCGTTTGTGTGTGTATCTCTATGTATATGAGGGTATGTAGGTGTAAAATGTGTGCGTATATCTGTGTTTCCGTGTGATGAATGTAGATATGTATTATGTGTAAATATGTATGTATGAATGTATTATGTGTAAATATGTATGTATGAATGTATTGTGTGTGAATATGCATGTATGTATTATGTGTGAATATGTATGTATGTATTATGTGTGAATATGTATGTGTGTGTATGAGTGTGAATGTATCAGCGAGGGACGCAACGCGGTACCTCCATGCATGCCCTGCCTTTGAAGACTTCGCATGCTTAGCTTTTTGGCGTGCGTTTGCTGCAGAATCGGCTTCCGCCCTTCGACTTGTATGCATTCCCTGCTGAGCGCATGCAGCCGCGAGGCCCCTTAGCAGAGGTTTCTGCAGCGACATTGCGGCAGCAAGTGCTACGAGACACGCAAGTGCTCGTGGCAGATGCCGCCGTTGCGCGCGACTCATCTTTGTTGCAGGTGGGGTGTCCAGACGGCATTCGCCGTCTTCGCGCTGTTTGTCGGAGGCGGCTTTTCTCTCTTCTGGAGTTGGGCAGGGGGGCACACAGCTGCAGGCAGGCAGTCTAGGCTGTTTGCTCGAGGAGGGGGTGGGGTAGGGGGCAGCGGCATGCATCAGGAGAGTGTGTGTTTTGCGAGGCTTTTCGCCCTGCGCGTGAGCGGGGAGAGGCTTTAGAGCTGCCTGCGAAGGCCCCACCGTGCTGCTGCTCGACCTGCCTGCGGTGTATGTACGCGCAGCGCGTTGTGCAGCTCGGCTGTCTGGACGTCACGGTTCTACCGGCGCTTTTGGGAATTCGTCCATGGCTTTTGCGTAGCAGCGCGACGCGCGAGCTGGCTGCAGTGCTGTGTGGGGGCAGTGAGCGCGTGCGAAGCATTGCTGCCGCCGTAAGCGCGGAGAGAGAAGGCATGGGGAGAAGGGGAGGGGGAGGGAAGACGCAGAGTGGGGGAGCTTTCCATGCAGTCGTTGGGGTGTTGCAGCAAGACAGCGAAGCCTAGGGAGGAAAGAGCGTTTTTTTCTCTGGGACCGACTGCTGCCAGCGCGTGCTGCGACTCCTGATCTGGCGTGGTTTGTGTGTGGGCGCAGCTCGAGAGGGCAGAAGCCACGCGGAAGCAGCCGCTGCAAGAACTGTCTCCTGTGCTTCTTGTGATGCCTCGCGAAGACATGGCGAGCCTCATGGAATTGGCGAGTATCGCTGCAGAAGCTGTCGAGGCAGTGGGAAGTGCCTCCGGCGGAAGGCGTGCTGGCATGCACGGCCCCGCAGTCGCTCAGCAGCAGCAGCAAACGATACGGTGGCTTCTTTGCGACGCTCAGCAGCGCGTGCTTCAGCGTCTGCCGTCTGCTGCCGCCAAGGAAGCTCGTTCTGCCTGGACAGCTGCCGTTGAAACCTCCTACAGCGCAGCCCCCTCCGATAGAGCTGCCCTCCTGTCGCAGCGCGACGCAGCGGCAGGCTGCAGGGGAGTGCGGCCTCTGGTCGTGTCTGCCGAGTATATCTGCGGCTGCTGGGAAGAGGCTCGACGACTTCCTGCAGATGCAGCTCACGGCTGCATGGAGGCAAGTCTCTGCGGCTTCTCCTGCGCCGTGCAGCGCGAGTTGCACACGGGGCAGGGAGGGAAGGAACGGGGGTACTAGTGTATTCAGGCAGCGTGGAAAAACGACACGACGCCTTCCTGTGTTGGGGAACGGGGGAGCAGGCATCTCTTTTTTGTGCATGGGTGCTCCCCTGATGCGTGCAGGTGCCCGACTTCTGGAGCGAATGGCGAGGGGCTGACTCGCAGAGTCAGCCCGAGGATGCGGCCTTGTTGGCAGCGCTGCAAGAAGACTGTGGGAACACTGTGGTGTATGGAGATCTTCCCGTTGCAGGCGATGTTAAAGAGGCCAGGCAAGCCGTCACCCTCCGCAGAGGGGAGGTGTCTATCGAGAGCACGGGCTTTGGGGCACGCGTTCGCATGCGGGGACTGCTGCTGCCACTGTGTATGCTCCAATGCTGTCGCTGCGTCGAATTTTGGGAGCGCACGCCACACCGCGAGAGACGACGTCGCTTCGTGCGTGGCGGTAAGAGTGCGGTCTGCCGTCTGTTGAGCTCTAGACGCTGCGGTGTAGAGGCGTGCAGGAGGTGTCTCGTTCTTGTGCAGGCTGCGAAGGGCCCTGGCAGCGCTAGAGCATGCACTGGCTGTCTCCTTGGATGTTCAGCAGCATCAGGGGCTAAGAGAGCAAGGCGCGTAAAAGGGGTAGTGTAGCCTCGCGAAGGAACGGCGTTTCTTGCATGCGCGTTCTCGACTGTTGTACGCCTGTGCATGGTGGCTCGAGCAAGGAGGAGGGCTGCCTTGAGGGGGCAGTTGCACCTGGGCAGGGCCTGGCGTGCTGCTCGCCGAATGGCAGAAGACTTGCCAGCAGGTTGGCGTTTTTCGGGCAGTAGTGGTGCGCAAGCCCTTAACGCGCACAGGATCATCTGCGTGAGTCTCCACCGTTAGGCGAAGCAAGCGCCGTAGGGCCTTTACAGCTTCGTTCGCTTGTAGACTGCCGTTCCTTCACGAGTAGAAGCGCGCGGCATAAGAGTTCCTGCGGGAGAAGTTCTCCCGCAAACCAGGGCTTCCTTAGACTCCACATGCACACGCCACGGCGCCCTCACGCGATACGAGTGCGACACACAGCTGCCTGCGGAAAGCTCCTGGCGCGTCCTATTCTCCCCCCTCCTGCTTCCCCCGTCGTAGCGTCCAGCGAGTCTGTGCGTTCGTTCCCTGCGGCAATGCGCATAGGGGCCTCCGCAGGGATGCGCGGGAGGTAGTGCATGCAGAATCTATTCGCAGCGCAGTCCGCAGCAGGATGTTTGGGCTAGCCAAAGGAGCAGGTGATGTGATGCAAGGCTCTTCTCGAATCTTGCTAGCCACTTAGCGGGGAGCCGCCTTCGTAGACGAAGGAACTCCCTAGAGAGTTTTCAAGTGAAGGCAGTCCTAGAGGCTGCCCGCCGTTCCCCCTAACAGCACGCTGAAAAACGCCCAGCTGTACGACGCCGCGCTGTATGGCCTGACCGTCTGATGGCGGTGCTGCTCACGCCCATCCTCATGGGTGGGGTATGGAGAAAAAGTTGTATTGTAGCCCTTATTTCGGGGGAGGCAGAAGAGGGGGAAAGAAGCCCGTAGCGTGCCTTTGATCGTCCCGCATAGTACACGGCTGCGGTGGCTCCCCGTCCATCATGCGCGCGCATTCGAGGCACCACGTCGTGGATATCTATGAACGCATTCAGGGGAAGTTGGGATTTGCCTGCCGGTACCTGCGAGATGAAGGGTTCGTCAACGCAAGACATTCTTAGCATAGGATTTGCCGCCAGGCTTCACTACATACCTACCCTTGCAGCTAAACAGTGATTGTTCAGTTTGAAATGAATAGTGAGGCTTTCATTCCTTCCTGTTCTACGGGGCATTCCACAGCCCAGATCCTTCGTGACGAAGGTCCTGCTTACTGCTCTACTCTTACATCCGTCCACGCTTATGGTCGTTCAGTATTCAGGAACAGTTCTTCTTTGGCAAAAGGCTACAGCGGAATGCGCAATTTACCAAACTAGCACTAAAATCTCGCCTCCAGATGGTCTCTGGACACTCACAAGAAGTCTCTTAGTGCTAACTAGAAAACACTAGAAGCCCCGCCTGTTCTTTGACTAACAGCTTCTGTGACTATGCACTTGGTGCGGGGGAAGGGTGCTAAACCAAACTTTGCTATATTACATTTGCTTACCCTTGCAATGGACAAAGCTGATGGGAAAACGCAGGAGATAAACTTTATTGCCAGCAAGGTATTTTTGAGGCCGGTGCGGAGAGGCATCCGCCATGACAGGGGGAAAACTATTGAATTGCCCCAAATCCCATCTTTGGTTGCATGCGGCAGCACACCGTAAAACTTTGATAGATGATCTGACAGTCTTGAGCGTTGCTTCATATAACGCCAGCTAAATCCCCGAATCGTTGAACGGGTTCCAATAAAGAGAACTCTTCATGCGGGTAGTGAGTAGGTAGGAGCTGACTTTAGTGGCGTACAGTTGCCTTCTCAGTGGGATTGAAACAATGCGGCCAGAATCTAAAGCTCGAGCGGAATCTTTGGAGCCTTCACGCTGATTCTAAATGTCCTAGAAACCCCCTTACCCTTTAGTCGATGTAGAATTTGCATGGCCTTTCAGGAAGGTTGTGCACAGGGGGCAACCCACTGGAGGTATTTCTAGTTGCGCCCACCTGCCCCGCACAGGAGACCCTTGCTACCCTTTTTTTGAGAAAACCTCGCGACATCACCATATCTCACAGTAAGCGCTATTCCAGAAACAGGATGCCCTTGAAGCCGGGTCTGTGGAGAGGCACGGGATATAGCTGAGCGGCTGCCTGCCTGGTTGTAAGCTGCGGCCAACAGAAAGATCTCAATGGCTTGTAATAGGTCTGTCTACTGGGGAGTAATAATAATAAGGTGGCACTAGCAGAATACGTCTAGTACGCAACGGAGGTACATTGTGCGCTCCGCATTCCACGAGCGAACTTTCAGCTGAAAACCCTCTACAAACATGAAGGGTAGTTACGTCGCATCCACAGCCCAGAGCGACGCATATATGCGTTTTTTACGTAAGCGTTCCAGTCCCTAGCATCAAGGGAGGCAGGATGCCCAGGGTGCATGTGTGTGCTGCCTTAGAGGGCGGTGCAAGCAACTTGACAGCTACGTTTAACGTCCGTCCAGGCAGTGCGTGAGGAAGCGAGACTTTCCGGGATGCCAACAGCAGTATATAGCTTTATTGGTAGAGCATTGTGGAATGCACTCAATTTCTGGAACGGGCAAGGAGTAGTTTGTTTCGCTACGGGTGCAGCGCGGTGTACAGTTCAATGAGTATCTCCTAGGATGTCGTGTCGACGATTCTTTAGAAAGTCTGGATTCCGCGCACTCACGACACAATACAGTCTAATTAATTCTCGAGTGAGGCTCATTGCCACGTGTACTCTCACAAGAGTGTGCGGGCTTCGGCTCCAGATGCGCGCTCTTCTAGATCTATGGATGTCTTAAGTTGGTAAAGAGGTCCTGCATAATCCAGCAGAAATCAATTAGGAGATATACAGCTCCTAAACTGGTGCAAAGGTCCCAGAAAGCTCGCGGCGTGTGGCCGCGTTTCCGAGGGGTGGCAAGCGTGTGTGAGTGGATCGTCTCTCCATGGACACACATAACCATCTGCTGTCTAATCGAGCCACCAACCTAGCCCTTGAAAAGCTAAAAAGGCTAAAAGCTCGATGTATGCCAAGAAAACAGCGGTTCTATATGGATAAGCAGCCTCTCAGGATGTGTCTGCTCTGCCCTCGCGCGCCTTTCTCGATCCGCGCACGTACAGTGCGTTTTGCCTGGTGTTGTGTGGGATGCACGCCGGATTTAAGAGCCCTTGTTTAAGCTGCTCGCATGCAGCTCGCTCATTGCAGGAGTGCATCTAGGGCGTCTTGTTCCCGAAGAAGTTGATGAGTAGCGCACCGGGCAGTTGGAGCGGTTCAATAGGCGGCCGTCCTTGCAAAACTACACACTTGTTGAAGCCGCAATTTTCGCCTGCTTGCGGACGTCGCTCTGGCATGGTGTGAAAGTTGGCTTGCACGTCTGCCGCCAGCCAAAGCATCCTTAGCGAAGAAATAGAGGCACCTTCCTAAAAAGCGAGGTTTGCGCTGCCTGCATCGCACCGAGTTCCCCTCAGCACTCCTCTCCCCAAATAGCAAGTAGAGAGGTTGTTGTGGCTTTCTGTTTTCCCAAGGCAGACAGTAGTGCGCAAGCCTGGCTGCACGTCACTCCCCGCAATGCCGAAGGCGCAAATCGCCACCGCTGTACAAACATTAGGGGGGGACGCGCGGGGGTGGGGTTGCCCCCTTGCAGATCTCTCTGTCTGCGTGAGCACCTACACCCAGCACTCTGCTCAGCTGCTTCCCCTGTGCCCCTAGCCATCACAAATTACGGGAAGCTTTCCTAGAAATACTGTCCCCCTCCGGCGACAGTCCCTAAATTCGGCGGACAGGGTGCATGCATGCATGCTTCCACACCCCAAGGCCGCCAGCCCTTTTGAAAAAGAGCAAGTCAAAGGCCACCTCTTGAACTTCGAGGCGGCGCTCGCACGTTGCGCTGCGTTCACCGACAAGCGACGCCGTGTGCAGCTCGCTAGCGCTGCCTCAGCTGCGTCCCCCTTGCAAGGGCACCGCTTGCCCTTGCGCTTAGTCAAGCCAACCCCTGTAGCGGCTGCTCTTCTTGAGCTCCTGCTGCAAAGGCAATAGGGCGTCCACCTCGCAAAAGCTTAGTTCAGAGATCTCAGATTGATCTTTCAAGGAGTCCGCAGTAGTTGCGGTCCGTGTATATACACATACATACATACATACATACACGTACATTCACACATAAACATACCCCTCCTACAAGAACCCCCGTCCTTTTGCCCATCTTCGGCTCCTACCGAGGGCAGCCGGACGAGTCTCGCGCACGAAAGAGCCGAGACAGGCAGAAAAGGCGCTCGCTACGCTCGACGCGTTGAGAGGACGTATAATTACATGCGGTGCAGCAACGTCTCGCAAGACGCGTTTGCTTCCAACGCGTAGATAAGAATTATGGCTCCAAAAATGCCACGAAGGCGCACTTCCAACAGGACAGGACAGACAGCTTGCGCGTATTTCTTCCGCCTCCCATACGGAGTTCTGAAGCTGACGCGCGCATTCTCAGACGGAAGCGGCCCTATTCTTGCCACCCTATTCTTGCCAGAACAACGAACGTAGAGGGCAAGCGACAGCACCGGAGTGCAGCAAGACCCTGATTTGACAACGCAGTGAAATGCGCCTCGAAGATCGGCGAAAGAGGCGAAGATTTTTACTTTTCACGGCTACCCCCCAAGAAGGACGGCATCCGACAACGCGGTGATCGCCCCTCACGGCTGCGGCCCTTCAGGCCTCCCCCTTCCAGTCACTCAGCAGCCCAGCCAATCGCGTTCTGAGGTTAAAACTATTGTTTCCCAGCATACGAATGCACCTTGACCTTCTTGCACGCGCTGAGCGCACCTGCTTCTACCAAAACATCACCCTAAAAAGATATGTTACCACCATGTCCAACGACCACTCAGAGCGTAGAGCCAAACGGGCTTGTCATATACATACATATATATATATATATATGTGTGTGTACATATACATGTATAGATATATATATATATAGATGTATTACAAGCCACGAAAAGGGCCGAA